ACAGTAGAAGACCTCCCTAATGGGGCCCCATCTAAGACCAGTCCCTCTCGTTGCCTTGCTGAGAGCTAAGTTCATCAATGAAAGTCAACAAATGAAGAGGAATTATCCGTCTATAGGAGAAACAAGAAAGAGGAAGAGGAGTCAGCATGTGGACGATGAAGACAAGATGGAGATGAACGCTGGTTGGAGGGCCCCCCCCAAAAAGATTGGCCCTGCTCTTGTAGCCAGCGTGTGTAAATATGTAATGATGTGTTGGTCTGTTTTCCTGTTTGACACACAGACCTCCCTTTGTGTTTAAAGCCTCGAGCGGTTTGTCTGATGATGAAACACTCTGAGAACACTGCGGGCTGAACGACGTGGAAAAGAACTACACTTTATTTTATCACGACCTTCAAGCCTGTTGTCTTAAAAGGTTCATGGTCCTGAGTTAGACCTGATTCCTGGAGAACGGCCCTTTAATGGAATATCTCTTTGATGATGTTTTTGCTCAGTTTGGACCTGATGAACTGAGATGAAGTCCAGTTATTTGTTGATTTTATTTGACAGGAGTCTCTCTGTGAGGAGGTTCCTGGTTTGAATCCCCGTCTTCAGGAGTCTCTCTGTGAGGAGGTTCCTGGTTTGAATCCCGTTCTTCAGGAGTCTCTCTGTGAGGAGGTTCCTGGTTTGAATCCCCGTTCTTCAGGAGTCTCTCTGTGAGGAGGTTCCTGGTTTGAATCCCCGTTCTTCAGGAGTCTCTCTGTGAGGAGGTTGCTGGTTTGAATCCCCGTCTGTCAGGAGTCTCTCTGTGAGGAGGTTCCTGGTTTGAATCCCCGTTCTTCAGGAGTCTCTCTGTGAGGAGGTTCCTGGTTTGAATCCCCGTTCTTCAGGAGTCTCTCTGTGAGGAGGTTGCTGGTTTGAATCCCCGTCTGTCAGGAGTCTCTCTGTGAGGAGGTTCCTGGTTTGAATCCCCGTCCTTCAGGAGCCTCTCTGTGAGGAGTCTGCATGTTCTCCTCGTTCATGTGTGGGTTCTCTCCTGGTTCTCCGTCTTCCTCTCACAGTCCAAAGACATGCTCTTTAGGTTAACTGTTGACTCTAATTTGTCTGTAGGTGTGAATGTGAGTGTGACTGGTTGTCTGTTTCTATATATCAGCTCTGTGATTGGCTGGTGAACAGTCCAGGTGTAACCCTGTCTCTCACCCAATGACAGCTGGGATCGGCTCCAGCCCCACACGACCCCAAACGGGGAAAGCAGTACAGATAATGGATCTGTGTGTGTGTGTGTGTGTGTGTGTGTGTGTGTGTGTGTGTGTGTGTGTGTGTGTGTGTGTGTGTGTGTGTGTGTGTTCATGCTTCATGAAGCTGGGTGAGGTGAGAATAATCCTCCTGCAGGTTTCAGGTAACTGAGAGGAAGCAGAGTGTGAGAAAATGCATCATCATCGCTGATAAGAGAAGAATCAACTTTCACAGAGTTTCCCTCATGGTCACCTCGCTCTCTGCTGAGTGTTTCAGTAAAACAAAAGAGAGATAAGAATAAGTCTTTTTAAATGTGGTGACATTGAGGCTATAGGTCAGTGTCACATGAAAAGATACTCATAATGTAAAATAAAGGAAAGTCAGGGGAAAATGTCTGTTCTGCTGCGTTTCTGAATAGGAAGGAGGAAGTCATTTGAAAGCCACTTAATCTTGTAAACCAAACATTACATGCACTGGGGGGGAGATATTAAAATGAATGAAGGACTTTTCTCAGCGATGGATAGATCCACATTCTTGGTCGCTGTGAGTTTGGAGGTTGTGGGAATGATTGGGTCATTATTAGAGGGATGAAACGATTGTTAGTTTTGGACTGATGGTGGGATTTCTGGAACAAATAGAGAATATCTCTGCATGACTTTAAGAAGCTTTCTTCATGTTTCCTCTGGCTGTTTGTGTTTGCCGGGTGGTCCGCTTGTTAAATAGATTGTCCAGTCATAAAGAAAAGGTCACAGGTTCGATTCCTGCCACAGCTGATGTGTCCATCAACCTCCATGTGTGCCCGAGCCGAACACTGAGCCTTTGTGTCAGCAAGCGAGTATAAATCTGACGGAAACGTTGTCTTACTTTTTACGGCAACAACCAGCTGTTAAAGTCCGACATGGAGCTGACACATCTAACATGTTGGCACAGATTCATGTGGAGTGTGTCTCAGCTCCACCCTGCCTTCAGCCGAACCCTGCGCTTCCTGTCATTACACTACCTCCTGTTTAAATTGAAACTCAGGCTCTGAAGTAAAACCTTTCGGCTGAGAAATCCATTTTTCATTCGGCTGCTTTTTAACGTCCGTGTCAGCCCCACTTCTCAAAACAAAGACCACATGTGTCCGTTTAATGCAAACCAGACGCGTGGATGGAAGCGGACCGCCTTCAGCCGCCTCTCTGTGTGCAGATCTATGGAAAATGTCTCCTGGGGGGGGGGGGGGGGGTTAGCTGACGCAGCGGGAGGCCATTAGTGTTTTTTCTTCAGTTTGACCCAGGCTGACCCCTGAGCAGACCTCGCCACAACAAAAGAGACAAAATGGGTAAAAGACGGAAAGACGAGAGATCAAAACAGAGTCAGAGACGTGTGCTGCTGCTGCTAATCTGATTTAAAGGACGTCTCGTCTGCAGTCTAATATAACAGGCTTTCCTGCTTCTTTGAGTTTACGTCAGAAAACATCAGTTTATGTGATAAAAGGAAACTTGAAGTTGTTAGTGTCGTATTTCAAAGCAGAGCTGGAGCTAACTGTGGCATTAAGGTAAAATACCTGCAGCTGGTCGCGTAATCTCTGAAGATTAAATCAGATATTACTTGTATAAAAGGATTTTCAGGGTTAACATTGTTGAATTTCTCCTTCTGGCAATTATTAAAGAGAGACGAGAATAGAATAGAGTTAAAGGTGACATATCCTCCTCCTCTTCTTCAGTTTAAAAAAGTGTCAGAGCTCCTCAAAACATGTGTGTGAAGTGTCTTGTTCTAAATCCACTCTGATCCTGTATTTGATCATGTTTAGAAACCCCTCTATTTCAGCCCTGCTCAGAACAGGCTGTTTCTGTGTCTGTACCTTTAAATATGTAAATGAGCTGTGTCTGACCACGCCCCCTCTCTGGAAGATCTTGGTGTACTCGGTGCTTTCTTGCTCCATGTCCTATTGTTTACGGTGAGAAGGCAGACTCAGAGGGCAGAACAAACACCTAGCTGTGGGAGTGTCACCCACCTGGGGGAGGGGCTACTGCCCTTTGTGATGTCATGAAGGGGAAATCTCCAAATGGCCTGTTTGAGCACACATTTTTAAGGGGGGTTAATTTTTTTATAGCGGTTTCCACCTAGCATTTTTCCCTGGCAGAAAAGCGCTGGCTGTGCTGGTGTTATAGTCAAGACCACACTGATCGAGACCAGAGTGCTCCTAGACCAAGACATAGGGATCCCATGGGGACTTAAGGATCGAGACCAAGTGACGCCCAAGACCATGGCAGGGCGAGACAGAGACCAAGACCAAGACCATAACTATCTCTGAAAAACCATCATCTTGTGTTTAGGGGGCGTGTCACTCACTTAAACCGTAACACCGGGAAGGTCGAGGCCGTAAACGCGTAAATGAGGGGTACAAATCACAGTGATGACGTGGAAAAAGTGGTGGTCTTGGTCTTGATTTAAAATCCGGAGTCCGCCCAACCTGAGACCGAGACATGACCGAGTAAAAATGCTTTCGATTCCAAGACGAGGCTGAGACTAAGACCGATTTCAAGTACTACAACACAAAGCTGTGCACTCTGTAGCGCTTGCATCATCCTCCTGAAATGATCTAGATATTTTCAGGAGTGCAGATGTGAAAACCATTAGAGTGTCCTTAGAGTGAAAACAGATTTTACACCAAAAACCCATGAAGGTCGGACCTGGTGTGGTAGCTCATTATTTGTGTGTATGTGCATGAAACTATAAAAAACACTTCAGCTCAGGTGTAAATATTCAGTGACCTTACGAATAGGCTTCTTCTTATTTAATCCCATGAGGTAGTTTGTTTTTACTGCTAGATTTGTGTTTGCATACATTTTTCTAAAATGATCGTTACCCTCCTGCAGTTTCTTCAAAAAGTTCCATTTAAGGAATGGAGGAGTTATGGAAAACCATTCAGTCAGTCCGACCCTGTTGACATCTTTCTCTTTCTTTGCATTCCAGGTGGAGGTGAGAGACTTTCTGAACCCCCTCGCCTGTCTGTCACACACAACTGTGGAGTGGTCTCCACTGTAAACAAAGCAGCGGGTGAGACTTAAACTGCACGCAGTCAAACATGAACTGTACAAACTGTAGGCTTTATCGACCTCTGCTGGAGCCTAGAGGAACTGCAACAACATGGACACTTAAGAACACACTCAGACAAAATCATAATCAATCAGCATCAACTCTTTAATAGAAAGAACCAAAATATGGTGGATGAAAGTTAACTTATGTATGATTGTTCTTATAATTTGATCACTAAATAAAATGTGTCCAATCAGTGAGCTGTGTAGAGAGTGAGATGATAAAGGTATCTTACTATCTGATCATTAAGGAAACATGTTGAAGTGCTGGCTTCTCTGACAACAATGCAGCAGCCAGTATGTCCTCCTTCTAACTTTAGATTCTGCTCCTGAATGCTCTGGATTTGTTTGGACCAGAGAAGGTAGGCGCTTTTAAGACCCCCCCCCCCACACGGCCGTTTTGGACGCCCCTCGGTTTGTCAGATATGAGAGCAGTTATCAGGTCAACAGGTGTTGCAGTGATGGAAGCGGTCAAGAGAAGTGGTTCAGATAGAAGTGATTGTACCCGACCTAAAAAGCCTCTGCATGTTTCTAATAAGCTCCACGAGCAGAAACGTGCTCAAACTAGGATCAATATTGGAGATGCTTTTGAAAAATGGAGAGAGGTTAGAACACAGAAAGGTTTACAGACCCATGCAGAGCTGGATAAACACTGAAGCTTCAGAGTCCACCACATGGTGACCTGAGTGAGCATCCACTCTAGAGAGGAGGGGGGTTAGAGTTACAGACTGCTCCTTTAAATAAGAAAAACACTTTTTTAAACATTAAATGAGGACAACTAAGAAATCTGAGAGATCTTTGCCGGCCACTGTATATAAATAATATTCATTCACATGCAGAAATCTGTTTAGAAAGATTTGTTTGACTTGTCATGTTTGATGATGAAGTACATTGCAATGGATAATTTCACCCTGACACTGAACAACATCGCGGTGAGCAAGCTAACACAAGTTATCAACACGTAACAGGACCTCAATTTAAACACATTTAATGGATATAATGCAATATTTAATCATCACATGCCAACTATGCATTTTGACTCAGTCCTCAGGAGTTTGTTGACATCAACATTCACAAAATGTTAGTGTCAGAAGATCTCCTAACTGAATGTGATAGTAGATGCACATTAAGCTGTGTGTGTTGTTATAATGATCTCAAACTTTTGCTGTTCCTCCGCTCTTATCCGCAGCGCTCTCAGTCAGGATGTCTGCGTTGTTCCTCCTGCACATCAGGACTCTGAGCTTCTCTCTCAGGTTTTTGTTGGAGCAGCTGAGGAGGATCGCGGAGGCCACGCAGTAAAACGACAAGCCGAGGAAGAGCATGTCGGCGCTCAGCCCTGACGCGAAGACGGCGTGGAGGTAGAAGAGCGAGATGGTGAGCAGCGTGGCGAGGTAAACCCAGACCAGAGCCACGGTCAGCCTGCAGACGAGCAGGTAGGACTCTGCAGAGCGAGAGCTGCTCCTCTGCACGGTGTGTCGGCAGAGGAAGACGACGAGCCGCAGTGACGTCGGGAGCATGACGGTCAGCGGCATCAGGGTGAGGTAGAAGAGGAAGACGATCACATAAATGTTGACGTCAACCCAGGCGGGAAACAGAGGCTTCCTGGTGACACAAGCAGCTTTTTCTGTCACGTTTGAAAGCAGAGTTTGGCTTTGGAAGTGGAGGAAGAAGAAAGGTGTGAACATGAGGCAGGAGGTCAGCAGGGTCACACACAGGGCGGCGTTCAGGACGCTGGAGACGTTCTCCTTCAGAGCCCTGAAGAGAGCCGAGGAGAAGCTCAGAACTCTCACGCAGTAGAAGACGCTGAGCCAGGCGACAGACCAGAAGCTGACGGAGCTGCTGCTGAGCCAAACGACCACGACCACGCAGAAGAGGAAAGGTAAGACCGGGCTGCAGAGCACGCCGGCCCAGATTGACGCCACCAGGATGAAAGTGGAAATCTGCAGCAGGACGTTACCCAGAGAGATGAAGCAGATGATGACGGCCAGCGTCTTCACACCTCCGGACCTCCACTGCTGCACCAGCATGACGCCGAGGTTGAAGACGTTGGCGAGCACGCCCAGGACCAGCAGGAGGGCGGTGCCGCACAGCTTCAGATCAGCAGGTCCAAACATGGTCGCACAGCGGAGACGGATCCTGTTTCATTCCTCTCAGGCTCGGAGCCGAATGACTTATCAGGGTCCTCACAGAGGAAATGAAAATACCCAGCATGCAAATCTGTTCCCCCCTGAGTCCTCTGAGAATGTCGCTGCATATGAAAACAGAAATTAAACATCACTAAGTTCAGTCACCTCGCTGCTCTGATCTTTTATAGGACAGACCCAGACTCTAAAGTGAGCAATTACAGACTCGGAGGCGGTCGGAGTGATTTGTTTTGTTGATGTCTCGTAACTTAGTTATGAGTCTGTGATTGTCTTATATCATCAACACAGCAATGTTTTAGTCTGACTCTCTATTCTGAAGCCAGCTCCATAATCAACACTCACCTTTTATTTTGGTCTAATTCTCAAAAATCAGTCAAGAAGAATAAACTGGCTCATATGTAAAGCCTCCTGGCACAGACTTTAAGCCACAATCTGTAACAAATCCACCTTAAAATAATCGTTTCAGGGGTCGATTTAAAAGCACAATAACCTCCAACAGGAAGAATGGCGTCTCTCTCTCTCATGTCCTCAGAGCGCCCCGCTCGCCTGTTTTCAGCACTATGTAACTTTGGCCAGTTAGCCCGTCTCTGTGCTGTTTGATACTGAGGATTAGAGGACGGAGACGGATAAAGAGAAGACAGAGAGAGAGCGATGCAGAGTGTACGTCCCTGCAGATATTATTCAGAAGAGATAGAGACCAACATGCTGTTTCATTCTCGGTCATCGTTGTCTCTTGTCTCGCCACCTGTTTGCTAAATGTTGCCGAGTGCTCATGATGGATTAATGTTGGGTTTTTGTAATCCAGCCATGAGTAAGGTCTTTTACCTGCTTTTTGTAAAGTTTCTTCTGATAATGCAGGAAGTCGTCTAACCCGTCTCAGGTTTGATCAAAATAAATCAATAAATACACCAAAAGTCGTCTCTGTCCTCATCAATCTTAAAGTTTTATAAGTTTGGAGCCTAACAAAACTAACATGTAGCCTAATAAATGATCCTCACCACTGCAGACATGTCTAATAACTTCAGCTTCTTTAAAAGATAAACAGGTAAGTCTAGGAAGAGACTCAGGTAAGTCACTTTGATTTAAATCCGATATTTTGAGGAGCAGTTGGAGGGAAGCTCTTCACCCTTTATTTCTGACTAAGTGTTGTTTAGTTTACGATTAGTTTTTAGATAGGTAAAGTTTTAGATAAGGAACTTTCCGAGCAGTCCATGAAGGTAGCGTTCCCTAGCAACACCATAGCAACACCATAGCAACACCTACCAAACGTCAGGTTTACAGCGAGTAGGATTTTAAATGTAGAAGTCCCGTGACAGTATTTAATGAAAGTCTTAAAAAGAAGAGTTTAGCAGCCTACAGCCAATAATTACAGAGGACACGACAAAACGACAACATAAAGACATTACTATGGAGAACAACATCAACTCTGAAGGCACAGAAAAGGCCTTATATTTGATGCAAATTCGATATTTGGAGGAGCAGTTGGAGAGGTAAGAGTGTGCTAAGCTAATGTGCTAAGCTAACCTTTCCGTTACCTTGCAGACGTACTTTCTTTGAGGCACCGAATGTATAACGTTTGATGTTTAACATAATAAAATGTTATATTACATTAGTCTGTAATATATAGTTCTAAAAAAAGTTTTTGTAGTTGCAGTTTTGAGGATTATTAGCTTATTTGTGTTTAATATTTTAATTCCTCCAGTCCCTGAAGGTAACATCGCCGAGCAACAACTACTCGCATCAGAGTAGAGGAACAAACCCCTAAAAGAGAGACCCCTCACCGAAAACCCCTAAAAGAGAGACCCCTCTCTGAAAACCCCTAAAAGAGAGACCCCTACCCGAGTAGAACAAACCCTAAAAGAGAGACCCTCTCTGAGGTAGAACAAACCCTAAAAGAGAGACCCTCTCTGAGGTAGAACAAACCCCTAAAAGAGAGACCCCTCTCTGAAAACCCCTAAAAGAGAGACCCCTCTCTGAGGTAGAACAAACCCCTAAAAGAGAGACCCCTCTCTGAAAACCCCTAAAAGAGAGACCCCTCTCTGAGGTAGAACAAACCCCTAAAAGAGAGACCCCTCTCTGAGGTAGAACAAACCCCTAAAAGAGAGACCCCTACCCGAGGTAGAACAAACCCCTAAAAGAGAGACCCCTCTGAGGTAGAACAAACCCCTAAAGAGAGACCCCTACCCGAGGTAGAACAAACCCCTAAAGAGAGACCCCTCTCTGAGGTAGAACAAACCCCTAAAAGAGAGACCCCTACCCGAGGTAGAACAAACCCCTAAAAGAGAGACCCCTCTCTGAGGTAGAACAAACCCCTAAAAGAGAGACCCCTCTCTGAGGTAGAACAAACCCCTAAAAGAGAGACCCCTCTCTGAAAACCCCTAAAAGAGAGACCCCTCTCTGAGGTAGAACAAACCCCTAAAAGAGAGACCCCTCTCTGAGGTAGAACAAACCCCTAAAAGAGAGACCCCTCACCGAGGTAGAACAAACCCCTAAAAGAGAGACCCCTCTCTGAGGTAGAACAACCCCTAAAAGAGAGACCCCTACCCGAGGTAGAACAAACCCCTAAAAGAGAGACCCTCTCTGAGGTAGAACAAACCCTAAAAGAGAGACCCCTACCCGAGGTAGAACAAACCCTAAAAGAGAGACCCCTACCCGAGGTAGAACAAACCCCTAAAAGAGAGACCCCTACCCGAGGTAGAACAAACCCCTAAAAGAGAGACCCCTAAAAGAGAGACCCCTACCCGAGGTAGAACAAACCCCTAAAAGAGAGACCCCTACCCGAGGTAGAACAAACCCCTAAAAGAGAGACCCCTCTCTGAGGTAGAACAAACCCCTAAAAGAGAGACCCCTCTCTGAGGTAGAACAAACCCCTAAAAGAGAGACCCCTACCTGAGGTAGAACAAACCCCTAAAAGAGAGACCCCTCTCTGAGGTAGAACAAACCCCTAAAAGAGAGACCCCTCTCTGAGGTAGAACAAACCCCTAAAAGAGAGACCCCTACCCAAGGTAGAACAAAGCACGACCATATTTTTTCATAACTTGAACATGTCTAGTTTATGAAACGGATTGTTGTTTTTTTGGATGTTTTCTGCATCTTACCAAAAAACAAAAATAGGTCAAATTAGGGCTTCTCCAAAAGGGACAGCTCTAGCCTTATCACATGTATCTCTGGGAATCAGAACCAGAACTTCACCACATTTGGACAGGATGTTCACAGATAGTTATTAGTTACAATTATGCAAAGTTTTTATCAATACCATTTTCAATTTTTGAATTTTTCACACTTAAACACACATGTAGTTTAAGCAGAAATTGAAAATTGAAACAAAAATTCAAAAGGTATGTGTATCAAAGTCTGTCATTTTTTAAGTAAGGACATTAAAATTAAAATATCTCATTTGTATCTTCTTTAGACTGTTATCTCAACATAAAAACAAGTTATGTGACTTTCCACTTGACAGGTCACCAGCCCTAACCTAGGCAGCCAGGATTTCACAATGGGGCCCTATGGATGTGTATGTGGGAGGAGGTGGCCACAAACAATTGATTAAGACTTAACAACAACACACAATATAATTGTATTCTGTAATATATATATATAATTAAACATTTTATAGTTATTCCTAATACATTTTGTATCTTACATATGATTTATATGATGACACTCAGAGTCAACCCGCTGCTTTCAACAATATTGTCACCTATGACATTGTTTCTATTTCATTCTAAAAAATTAAAGCATTTTCTTGCCATCAGTTGTGAAATATTAATGAACTAAAACACAGTATTGATATATATAACCTTGAGTTCTTAGAAATTAAATATACTTCATATAGTCTATTTGTATATCGGCCATACAGCCTGTTGTAGTTTTTTAACGTATTTCAGTCACATAAAGATGGTGTGTAGTCACCATATCTCCTGCTTTTAAGATGAACCCTAGTTACTCCAGAGGATACACTGGATGAAGGGATAGTTTTTATAATATAATATAAGTATGATAAAGTGTTATAAAAAAACTACAATAGCTATTTTTGTTGAATGATTTATCAGGCAACCAATGGAGCTGGGATACAAAACAATTCTTATGATGGTGTAAATGTGTGTGAGGTAAATTAGGATAACAATCATGCAAACATGTTTATGAGAAACTTCTTTATACACTTCATTATATTATATATAATGACATTTGAGTTTAAATGCTAATTACAAAGGATGATTTCCACTTTTAGACAAAATGGCTGTAAACCTGAGAGCTTAACACCGTACAACTAAAATCCTTTGTGTCACACTAAGCATCCCCTGGGGCCATCCCCTTGGCCTCTTATCTCTTTACTGCTCTTGTCCTGTGCTTGTGTAAGTTGTGTTTACTGATGAAAAATCTCCTTCTGCCAAGTTTCAACCGTCAAATATATCCCTAACTCTGACTCTTGGCTGTAGAAAATAACACCAACCCGCTGAAAGCAGAAACGAATAAGAATAACTCCACAGAAGGAAATATCTTCTATCTTAAGGTCTTGTTTGCTTTTGTAAACCATTTCACGATATCAGTATAAGTTTAAGTGAGCTCCATAACCAACCAAAACA